CATTCAATAAAGCTCTACATTTCTTTCTTTCTCTCCCCTTTCATTTTGATAAAAAACCCTATTTTTTAATTACTATGTTCTTATTTAAAAGGTCATCTGTGTCTTAATTAAGTAAATATCTAAATTCATCTATTATAATTATGTTGTCCTTGACTTTGAGGAAAAACAGCCTATCGCAGTTCTGGGCATATCTCTTGGGCCGTAGCTTCTGGATTTTAGCAATAAACAATGAACTTAGCCAGGACACAGTTATCTGCAGCTCACCTGCTTCAGATGTGAGGGACAGGCTAATGTGCGATGTAGAGGACTTTAATTACTCATGAATCTCTGGAGTAATAAACAGGGAGCAGCTAAGCCTGGGGCACTTGAGGATTGCACTAATCCCCAACACAAAGAGCTGAGGGGCTTTTCTTCCCTGCTGTTTCCTGCTTCAGTGTCAGAGGCTTGAAGGACAGATGCCCATCACTGGTTTTACCCAACACCTGACTGTCAGAACCAGAACCTCAGCAGTCTAGTAAGAATAGCTGGAAGACAAAATGATCAGATTTATCATCATGGAAGTAAGCAAGAAAAAAAATGTCTAAAGTTAATCCCTAGGTGTAAAACACATTAGAGATCAATTCCTTCTATTAAAGAACATGAAAAAAAAAAGAACTTTTTTTCTAGTAATATGGTGAGCTTATGTGGACCACTCCTCGCTGCCACTGAAAACTTTCTTGAGATCATGAAAGGTCTGATAAGATCATAAGGATCTACAAGGTCAGAATTCAGTGAAAGTAGAGCACAGAAGGAGAAGCAGAGCCCTGAAGCCACCTTTGCTCTGAGGGCATTTGTTGGGCCCTGGAAGTTGTGCTTTGGTCTTTCTGACCTTACAGAGTCTGAGGAGAGAGGTCAAAGTCCTGAGCATGCCAGGTGGGCAGTCTAACAAGACACCCTCTCCATAGTAAGGGTACAAGGGCCAAAGGGCTTCTCTTGCATCAAGAGTGAATGAAAAATCAACCTTCTCTGCCCACCTCCCCACAGTACTCAGGACAGCTGCTTTAGTGGGGCAGAGGAGGGCTGAATTGTCACCACAAGCTGGCAAGTTCACAGCAGCTGGTGGTTAAAAACCCTCAATCTTAAATTTCAATGAATGTAGTTTCAAATAGGCAGTGTCCTTCCCTGAAGCACATGCCAATGCTCCCTCGTCAAGTACCTCCCAGGCCTCTGAGAAGCCCCCAAACTATTTTCTAAGGCTATGGAGTGTGAAACAGGTTCACTGTGCACTGGCTACGGACTTGTCTGAGTCCAGCGAAATGGAACACGCACACACAGAACAAGTTACATGAAGCAGGTGTATTACTTACAGACTGGCAGCGAAGGACAACAGAAGCCCAGGAGACACTGGGTGCTGGTCCCCCAAGGCTTGGAAAAGCTGTCTATGCCCTGCTTGCACTGCAGCTGAGAAACCCAGAAAGCAGCCTGCCCTGGGTTTTATACCCCAGGGTGATGTGATCGCTGGGCTAAAGTATTAAAGGACAACCTGTTTCTGGGGCAGGGAAGGGGACTGGAACAAAGACTTAGCTATTCCTGCCACTTCCTCCTTATCTCAAAATGTTGCATTCCCAGCACATTCTACAGTTATTCTTGAGAACTACAAATGAGAAAGGAGGGAAACTTGGCCGGTCCAAAGTTACCCAGAGAACTGTTCTGCATGCAGCTCACATTAAAAAGTAAACAACATTGAAGGAAAAAGGACACTTTGCATGAGAACCAGCAGAAGCAATGAAAACCAAAATAGAATCATAAAAACTTCAGATATTAGGATACAAAAGCATGAATGCTAAAACCACTACAACTACTATGTTTAAATAAAATTTTACAGACTTAGTAAAATGCTGAATACTTTCACTCTGGGATTGGCAATAAGACAAAAATATCTGTTACCACTCCCCGTTCAACATTATACTGGAGCATTTCCCTATGCAGTAAGACATGAAAAAGAAAGAAAAGAGATGAGGGTTGGAAGGAAAACAAACTATCATTCTTTGCAGATATGTAGAAAATCTAAAAGAACCCACAATAAATTAATAAAACAATAAGAGACATTGGTAGGGCAGCTGGGTACAAAATCAAACAGAAAAGTGAATTATGTAGTGGTGATGGTGGCAACATTGTGAACATACTAAATGCCACTGAATTATACACTTTCCAGCATCAAAAACAGCACATGCCTAAAAATTAAGAAAACATGAGTATACTTATGAAAAAATCATAAATTTTTACAGAGAGAAATCAAATAAGACTGAAAAAGACTTAGAGATGATAATGCTATAAGAATTGTTCTCTCTAAATTGATCCATATGTCCAATACAATTCCAAATAAAATCTCAATACATTCGTGTGTGTCTGCGTCTGTGTGTGTGTGTGTGTGTGTGTGTGTAAAACTCGACAAATTGATTCTAAAATATATATGAAAATGCAGAGCCAAGAATAGCCAACTCACTCTTCAAGAAGATTAAGGTGAGAGGACTTTTCTGACCAGTTTTAAAGAAAGACTCATTATAAAATTATGGTAAGTTAAGGAATTAGAACAGAAGAGTCCAGAAACAGATCTATACATATACGGACATTTGATCTATGACAGAGGTGGCCTTGATGACCGATGCAAAAAGGACCAACTTTTTAATAAGAGACACTGGGACACCTGAGTGTCCATGTTGGAAAAAATTAAATTGCCATACCTTAAATAAAGATCGATTCCTGACAGATTATACATAAATGGGAAAGGTAAAACTGTGAAGCCTTACCACACGAGAGACTAACTTTATGACTTCAGGGTATGATAGGATTTCTAGAACAAGACAAAGAAAGCATTAACCATAAAAAAAAGGTTAATATTTTTGGTTATTTTAAAATCAAGATCTTCGGTTCATTAAAAGACACCATGACAAGAGTAAGAAGGTGAACGCAAAGTTTTATCACCCGGTTCTACCACACGTCAACTTTGTGATCTTGGGCAAATTCAATTCCTCTGAATCTTGGCAAATGAGAAATAATAGTATTTATCTTGCAGTGTTATTTTGAAGGTGAAACACACACAGCATCACATAACACAGTCAGCACTCAATCCATACCTTCAATTTTGAGGAAGTTGTGCATCTTCCTTTATGTGACAGTGTCATGGGACCGCAGGGGTTCGGCAAGTGTCACCCTCCAGTCCCAAGGAACAAAACCCTTTCATATTTGCCCTTCTCCTCATTGCCTCTGTGGCCGGAAAAAGGGACCACTCTGGCTAAGAGAGGGTCAGGGGGCCTCTTCTGCCTCCCGCGTACTGCTGCACCTGCCATCTTTCTTTCCCTGCAACCACTAACCCTGCCTGACTGCAAGCCCCATGTGCAGCCTTAACAGGCAGCTGTTTGGTTAATGGGGTTGCCAGACAGAGGCTGAGATAATGTGTACAGCGACGTTTGTCAATGATTAAGAAGGACCACAAACAACCTGCACATAGACATTTTCCGTGTGGTTGTGAGGTGATCATTTCTCAGTAATCAAAATGAAAAAAGACTTTGCAAAAGTACTACAGGAGAGATGACTGAGGAATTGCGCTAAGACTTCTCAAATCCTCAAGTGTAATCACAGTAATGATAGTTTTCCTGGAGTCTGAAAACCAGCTCCAAACTGTTTACAGTGATTTTGCTTCCCATCCCTGCGATTCCTCACAAATTAGATTCAGACTCTTTACATGTGTTGATGCTGCTGGGGGTTAATTATGACTGTGAATATCCATAATAGTTATAATACTTTTGGTTCTTGTACCTGCAATGGAAATCACCAAGCTGGGAAATATGAGAGTGGATTTCCAGGGTTAAAGGCAGAAACTCACTTTTTAGTAGGAATTCAATTTCATACCTGTTGTTCAAATAAACCCCATGTTTAAAATCTCTCCAAAACTTTGACAGTTGTCTTTGAATAGAAGAATGCCTGACTGCTTTATTATGCAAGACAAAAATATAGCACTTGTTCAGGTATTTTTATGATGGTAATTCTAGCATACACATTTGTATCACAAAGATAGTTTGCCTTAGTTCAAAATAGATTTCACCATCTGGATGGTAAGAGTCTTGAAGTCGTGAGAAGTAGAAGGACAGTTGAAAGAACTGGGGTCTGGTTCCAGAGAAGAACTAAAAAATAGGAGAGCTTTGTGGGAAATACCTCAAAGGATGTCACTGCTTACAGGGGACTGGCTTTGGTCTGAGGGTTTCCAGGGGCCAGAGCCAGGATCTTCACGTAGGAATCAGAGAGAGGCTTTCTAACATGAGGGAACACTGAGAATGCGATGAAGGTTCTTTTGGGAGGGTGAGGGTCCTGCTGGGAAGTTGATTTAAGCAAAGGCTGGGAGGTGACCTACAATCAGGAGATTGACAGGATGATGATGTCAATCAACAGGATGATGGGGCTCTCGGGCCCTTTTAGCCCTGAGAGTCGAGGCGTCTATGAAGTGACATGTCGATCATAAAAGGGGAGCTGTGGGAGCAATGTCATGAACAGGGCTCAGGGAGTTGTCGGAACATGTCACAGCTCCGTGACCTTGAGAACACTCTAAATGTCTCTCTCCCTCAGTTTCCCCATCTGTAAACTGAGGATAAAAACTGTGAGAATTAAATGTGTTAAAGACAGGTAAGCTCATGGAATAGTGGCTGACACAAAGCAAGTGCTCAGGAGATGTTAGTAGTCACTGGTGTTGTAATATTAGTCTTGCTATGATAATAATAATAATAATAATAATAGTTATTATTATTATTATTATTATTGATATTAGAAATTGGGACCTGCATGGATACAGATGTGTTGTTTAGGGATTGAGAGCCCTACAAATCAAGTCAAGGTTTGGAAAACTAACATTCATGGTGTGAATCACTAAACTTTAAATATTTGTATCATTTTGGAAGCTGTACTCTACCCAACGAACAACAGTGAAAAGCCTTTTAACAAAGCCGAGGACGCTGGGGAGGAGGTACCTTCTGCTTGTTTGCTCTCTGCTGCTGTTCAAGCCAGTTCTCACATTCTTGGATGTTTGTCGACCACTTGCAATCACTTCTTCTACCTAAAATAAAAATACAACACACACTAAGTGGTGCATTATCCCCTGATATATCCTCAAAAATATACATTACATATATATACTTGGAGATATACATATTTTTAAAAGATGCTAAAACATTTTAATTTTTATCTACATATTCCCTGAAAGAGGCAAACTTTAAGCCCCTGTATGTGGTATAGAGATGGTTATATCACAAATTGTGTCTGTTCACAGTAGTCTTGCAAAGCCACAAGCTATCCTACGATGCCAAAGGCCAAGCAGGGGAAGATGACAAATTAATTTATTTAACAAACATTATCTGAAAGCCAATAACATGGCAGACACTTTGCAGCAGGTATATGGGACACAGATGTGACTGAGACGCTTCTTTGAGGTGCTCCCAGTGAAACGCGCTGTGTTGGAAAGCACTCTGAGCTGGAAGCTTGAATCCCTGTTCCCCCAGCTCACTGGACCCTGGTTTCTTCCTCTGTAACATGAAGGAATTAGATCATGATCTCAAAGGTTTCTTCTTGGTCTGAAAAATCCTGTAATTCTTTTAAAATCCTACTTCTTTTAAACTAAATAGGCTCAGTGCTAAGCACGTTGAAGTATAAATAAATACAACTGATTGGTTCCATTTAACAGCCTGCAAAGATCATTCAGACCCAGCACCTCCCCTCAAGAAGCTCATAAAATACCCAAGAGTGGACAGAAGAGAAATTGCTCCTTTATGAGGCCCTGACCACATGCTAGGCACAGGCCGACCAATACTAGGTATTTTACTTGGTTTAACCCCCCACCTCCCAACATTCCTATGAGACAGGGGTCCTTATGGGCAGAGAGAAGGGATTTAGCACTCTCTCCTCGTGCTGCCTGCATCCAGTGACTGAGGTGGCACTCCTGCTATTTCTTTTCAAGGAGGGGGTGATCTAGAGTAGGTGTCCGCTCCTCTCTCCACCCTCATCGGGTCCCCCTCTGAGGGGGACCGGCTCATTCACTGGCCACATCTCCTAGTGAGCAGGCCACTGCTCTGAAGGGTGAGGGCCACCTGCCACCCTTTCCCCGTTCTGCCTGGAACTGGGTGTGTTGTGCACCTGTGATCCAGGTCGTGCAACTACTAAGGAAAAAGTGTGGGCTTGGACTTTGAGGGCGTATCACCTTCCGGCTTCCATCTGCTGGCTCAGGCAAGCATGCTGGACTCCCGATCTGTGTTTGGGAAGGGAACTGGGAGCCTCAGTTTAGCTTCAACTCTAGGCCACATTCTCCTCTCCCTACTTTACTAGACTTTGCCATTGGAGTGCTGGGCACTTCATCAAATTAGTACATGAGGTAATTTGTTTCTCATTTGACTAAGGATTCTTGGTTGTGTGCTCCACTGGTCAGAACCCCACAAGCCTAGCCAATTGTTTATCACGTGTCTGCTTCAACCGATCAATGACGGATGAACAGGTAAAGGAATACATCCTAGTCTGGGGAACTGCAGCATCAGACTTGGGAGGTGGGTGCTCTCATGGACGTCCGCCCCTAGATGGCAATTCTCCTATGTCACCATAATGCAGTGGCACAAGAGCCAGTTTTTCACATAGTGCAGCTGCATAATTTTCTATCAGATTTTATAAAAATGCAACGTGTGTATGTATATGCGGTTTAGTCTGGATCCCTCACATAGGAACACAAGTACGTCCTTCTCTTCCCATAGGTCTCGTGATGTTGTGGAAGGAGATGCCAAAAGAAACGGAGTCACTTGGAGAGACAGAGAACACAGATTTATTATGCCAGCAGACTCAGGGGGAATTAGCATTCCAAAAACCTGAGCCCAGAATGCAGGGAGAACTAGCCTTACATACTCTCTTTGGGTAGGTAAACAGCAAGCATTTTTATTGGCTCTGTCTGTATTCAGGCAGAGTTACCTAAATCAGGGGTCTTCAACAGGTGGTTAACTAGGTCAGTGGCTTTGGGTAGGGGGCTTTATCACAGCTGGGAGCAAGGGCAGGAAGTGTGGTCAAAGAGCAAGACTACTTGCATGAGATCTTGAGTAGGGGTCTTCTTCAGCCAAATTAAAAAACAGTTTTGTCTCTCATCTACACAGGAAATTGCTGGCAGGCTGTGGTTTAGTACTAACACAGGAAGGCAAAAAAGTGACAGGCTTGTAACCGCAGAACTACGGAGAGCAAAAAGGCATTCAGCTATTAACCCTCAACACAACTCTAGATAGAAACTTACATACAGGCTAATATCAGCTGGAAAAAATTAACATAAGGGTTAAAGAAGGGGAGGACAAGGAATTCAGCCATATTAGTGGGAGGCCTATGTATGGCACAAAAAGAAAAATCTGCTCAAGCTCCACCCTGTCAATATGAGGGTACTTAAAATTTTGTAGAAAACATAATAGGAATCTTTCCATGAACTTTTTGAGGTGCCCTCTTGTAGGCATTAAACACCAAACTCAGAAAAAATAACACCCTTAAGCACTACAAATGGTTTGTGCAGTAGCCAGACTTTTGCTATGACTCTAGAAGAGAAAAATGAAGAATGCCACGAAAGACATTAAATGTTCAGGCTGAGTTTGCTCAGAAATGTTTTGAAAGAGGTACAGTCTGTGTTACAGAAACTTGTAGAAGAAAGCTGCAGAAGAATCAGCAAGAAAGCCACCAAGGTAATGTTTACTGAGTGACTGAAGAAGGTGACAGAAGGAAAGAGGCACCCAACCAAGAAGGTTTTCATGATCAAACATGGTTTGCTTTGGAGTAAGATAATTCTAAAATGTTTTATTTGCTATGTTTTCAAATACACTTGATGTCATAAATTTATCATTTTCCATTAATTTTTTACTGGCCAATGATGTGATATTTTTGGATGTTAATATGGCAGGGTAGGGCTGGCCCCGTGGCTCACTCGGGAGAGTGCAGCGCTGGTAGCGCTGAGGTCACGGGTTCGGATCCTATATAAGGATGGCTGGTGT